AGCAGCAGCAGCAGCAGCAACAGCAGCAGCAGCAACAGCAGCAGCAGCAACAGCAGCAACAGCAGCAGCAAACTGCTGCTGCAGGACTCACGGCAGGAACTACAGCAGCAGCAGCAACAGCAACAAATGCGACTCAGAATGCTGCTGCTGCTGGTACCGCTCCTGCTGCTTCTTCTGCTTCTACTGCTGCTGCTGCTGCTGCTGCTGCTGCATCTCCCGCAGGAACCTCGACAGAGCTGCAGCAGCTGCAGCAGCTGCAGCAGCAATCACCGGCGCCAGAACGGCAACGGGGTGTATCCGCAGCTACGCAGAACAAGCGAACGATATCTGTTGATAGACAGCAGCAGCAGCAGCAGCAGCAGCAGCAGCAGCAGCAGAAGCATCACCACCACCATTCGCATGGCCACCATCGTCGGGGTGACGGGCATTCATCGCGAGGGCAGCAGCAGCAACAGCAGCAGCAACAGCAGCAACAGCAGCAACAGCAGCAGCAACAGCAGCAGCAGCAACAAGCTTTTATGGCAGAGCAGGATCCAAGCCATGGTTGGCAGCAGCACGATCAGCAGCAGCAGCAGCAGCAGCAGCAGCAACAGCAGCAGCAGCTGCTGCTGATGCAGCGAGCTGCTGTAGAGAGCAGCGCTCCGGTGTATGCGCAGGTCCCCTTCGTCCCCCCTGACGTGTATTCTACTCTCCCTGGGTTGCTGCCGTATGCAACCCCATTCGTGCAGGTGCCGTATGCAGCAGCAGCAGCAGCAGCTGCTGCTGCTGCAGCACCAGGGCCCCAGTACGCCCCCACCAGCTTCCCCCTCGGTATCTTTCCGCCGTACCCGCTGCTGCAGGTACCACCAGTGCAGCAGCCCCTTGTTAGCCAGGCAGCAGCAGCAGCAACGCGCAGAGGGACCCAGATATACTTAAACTGCTTCATAGTTGTTGCAGCAGCAGCAGCAGCCACTGCAGCAGCAGCATCTGCTGCTGCAGCAGGTAGGGCCTTCGCTGCTGCAGCAGAAGCAGCCGCCGCCGCAGCCGCAGCAGCAGCAGCAGCAGCAGCAGCAGCAAATACCAGCAGTGTGGAATCCAAGTAGCTAGCTGTGTGTAGCCAAAGTAGCTAGCTGTCTCTCGCAGCTAGCTGCAGCACCCCCTTCGGGCTGCTCAGGCCACGGGGTGTATGGGCAGGTCCCTGCTTCTGGCAGCAGCAGCAGCCGCAGCAGCTGCTGCTGCAGCAGCAGCAGCAGCAGCAGCA